AATTACGATGGAACTTTCTGAAAGAGACCCCTGTATAAAAAAATTAAGAGATTTAATTTGATTTTAGAAATATTCAACGAATTATATTTGATTTAAAAAGAAATATGAGCAACGAATAACTCTTATTACGTACATAAATACTGCATATAGCTATGTTTCTATTATTAATAATCGAAAATAAATTCTTTGCTAATATATACTATTTAATTTCAAATAAACTCTATCTATCACTTTGAATAAGTTCTCACTGATATTTTACTCAAAATTATATGAAAAACTTCTCAAAAACTATGGGATGGCTTTTGTACTCTTAATATTCTTTTTTAATTTGATTTTTTTTTTTTTTTTTTTTTTTGCATTTGCATTTAAAAAGCATTTTTACTCAACACATAAATACTGTAACTACTTAATGTATTTTTCAATTTAAATTTAGAAATAAAAAACAGAAGATTATATAATGAAAGCTTACTGGTATTTTTTTAATATTTCAATAGAATTTATGAATATTTATATCAAAGAAGTACGCACAATGTCTTCTTTTTTACTCTGTTTATAATATTTCTACTTGAAGCATGTGTTTTTCGATTAAAACTATTAAAACCTATAAAACTAAGTCTTTTGAACGTTATTTTACATTAGTTCATTAATAAAAGCATTATGTTTAATAAATATGAATATATTAATATCTAAATAAAATGATTATTGCTTTGTAACAAACATATGCTTCTTGAGCTGTTTAATTACCATTTCATTTTCTAATATAACATAACATTGCTTATTTTTTTATAAAATTCTTTCCAAACAATAGTATTTCAAATCTTTTTAACGCCACATTTCTCTTTGTAAAAAGTAGCATAAATTAAAATCCAAATACTTATTCGAAATTTTAAAAAAAAGGATCTTTATGCATGACTTTCCACAGACTCAGTTTCGGCGTAATAACTCTTAACATTCTTAACCTTTCCAGGTCAAAACACTAAAGCTTTTCCTCGATGAAAATTGAAGTATTCAATTGTTGATCAAGTCTCTGACGTCATTGAATCCTTCCTTTCTGAAAGGCAAAGTGGAGGGCCATAACGAGGCGGAACAATAGCGCGTTTCTGAAAGGCTTCTACCACTTAAAGCAATCCGTCCTTTGAATATTTAAAATTTCCTCCCGCATTTCATGCGTTTCCTGTAACTCAAAATTTATGCTAAAACTTCGACTCAAAATTAAACTGCCGAGGAAAAATAGAAATAATTTTTTTTTACTTTAACTTGAGTATTCTTAAAAATTGTAATATATGAGGAAAATAACTTTTTCTTACGAGAATTTTTGATTTCTTGCTCTTGGATTTATTTGGAAGCGGATCTATTATTTTATTTATTTTAGATAGTTATCTAAAGATAATCAACTTTTGTGTGATTTTGGGGAGTTTCTCGAGTGTCTTACTCTTTTAGTTATTTCATGGATACTGAGAAATAAAAATTTATTTGTATTTGTAAAGGAGTGGGTAAAATACTACCAAGAAATGAGTGTATTTCATTATAAATAACTAATAATCTTTGTATATTTACAAATAGCATATTGATTTTTTAGTCCCGTAAATAAGAAAAACTTTACATTCATTCTAGTGTCAGTTGCAAACGTTGATAACGTTGTATAAACGTTGTGCTTATATAATAATTTGTTAAATTAGAAAGCTTATGAGAATCCATGAAGCTAGGAATTCGTTTCGCAAAACTGCTGCTGTATTTTTCAATTAAAGAAAATAAAATTAATTCAACAGAATTTTTTGTGATCGTGTTTCGAAACATGAAATTTTTAATTTTTCTAGTACTCATAAGAATGTACCTTGACAATTTTACGGGGAAAAAATAAACTTGATTAGGTATTTCTCTTTGCTGAAACATTTGAACCAGTATAAGTGAGAAATTTATACCAGAAACGTATTAAGAAACCTTTTATGGAAAATAATGAAAAGCAAATAAAATTTACATTTTAGAATCCTGATTTTGTAAAACAGCACGTAATATTATCTGTAGCCTTGGTAATTTTTTTCACTTATTTTTCATGACTTCTTTATATGTATTTGATAGTTAAGAAGGAATTGATATAAAATAGCTATATACCTAGTTTAATAAAATTTAATGTATTTTTTTTAAATGTTGTTTCCTTAAAGATAATTTTTTGCAAAATAATTTCGCTTTTAAAATGCTAATTTTGAATTAAAAGAGAGAATTCCTGTCTAACAATTTATCAAAATGTTTAAATCTATATATGCAATATTGAAAATTATTCCTCATTTCGTATTTTAACAAGAGTTTTTTTTATAATTCTATTGCAGCTAAGACTAAAGCTAGATATCATAACTAATATTGAGTAATATTTCCTAAATTATTCGAAATTTATATATATATATATATATATATGAATGGAAAAATATAGAATAGAACAAAAACCATGAGCGAATGTATAGAAAATAAAGCACGTTAACCACAATTAACACAAAAAATTATAGAAGGAAAAAAAGAAAAACAATTTAACAAAAACAAATTCAAAAAGGAGCCTAACGAGTAAAAAAGCAATTTTGGACTTAGGAAGAATAAGTGAGATTAAACTAGTTTGATGATTCCAACTTTCTCTCCCTTTACAACTTGGTAGGAAAACCAAATAAAATAAACTGCTGTTTGTAAAAAATGCAACACCATGAAGTAATCATTAGAATTAAATGAAATCTAATGCACAAACGACTTGTATTAGTACAAATAAATAACGAAATTTCAAAGCAAAAAAACAATATTCAGTGTCCAAAATCAGTATTTGGTGTACCCACTACGCGCTGCAATAAGTGTTGCTATATGACGTGGCATGGAATCAAACAGATTTTGATATCTGCTTGTGGAAGATAATTCCACATTGCTTGTATGCGCAGCAAAAGTTCGTCTTTTGAAGCTACAGGACGCGGATCACGAGCGAGACGCCGACCAACCAAATTCCACACTTACTCAATAGGTGACATATCCGGCGAATAAGCAGGTCAAGGAAGGAGCTCCATGTGTTGGTCTGAAGAGAAGTCCCGAACAGTTTGTGCAACATATGGGCGTGCATTAGCTGAAAGATAGCTCCAAGGATGCCTAGAAGGAAGAAACTGCTCTACGAATGTATGATGCGCATTTTTCTGATCAACGAATGTGGGATCACAGAATTTTTCAGAGATGTGCACCCTTACCTGAATGCCACATTTGGGGCACGATGGCTTGGGAGTGATGGACCAGTCTCTTTGCTGACCCGATCTCTTTATTTATCGAGCCTCGATTTCTTTTTCTGGGCACATCTGAAGAATTTTCTTTATGCGACAACACTTTACTCAGATGAGTGTCTCGTTGTTCGAATGTCTGAAGCTGCTGCACGTGTCCTTGAAATACCTGGCATCTTTGAACATGCGCGCAAATCACTTCACCGATACTGTCAAGCATGCATCGTTACTAGTGGATGTAATTTTGAACAGTTATTGTAAAATTTACACTTGTCAATGACGCCTTCAATAAACACTTTGTCTTTCCTTTCGTCTCTTATTTTTTGTGTTTGTGCCCATACACACCTTATATAGTACCGCAGCATCAATTTCTTCATTGTTTCTAAATATTTAATTAACTATTTTAATCTTTATTATTCAAACACGTACACAACTTGTGCGTGAGTGTGTAGCATAGTTTTAAGGTGCTAAATTTTCCCATTATTTACTTACATTTTAAGGCTAAATTAAAATTTAAAAAAGGAAAATACGGTTTGAAGTAATGATTAAAAAATTTTAATCCTAAAATAAATTAGGAAAATTCCAATTCTTCAATTTCCTATTATAGCAAAATTTAATATAATTACTAAAAAATTATGTAATAAATGTAAAACCTCTAAAATTCATTTGTAAAATCCATCGTATTAAAAAGCAATTTACCTACATCAGTACATAGAAATAACACAATAAAAATCTCAAAATTGAATTTCCAGATACAACTGTTCATAAATATATTCTGCAATGAAATATACAATATAATAAACTAAATTTGGTGGCACAACAGCCTTTGAGGGTCAATGCCTGCTGTGTCCGTCTCAGTTTTCGTAGCCTTGGGCACTGAGGTGCATGAGCAGATCTTCCGATTAGGTAGTCAGTCGGACGTGAAACCCCCAGTGTTTAGTTATCAAGCTAGCTTGGTACTCATTTATCTAACGCTGAAGGAATGAAAAGCTTAGTCGACATTGTCCATATCAGGGTTGTACAACATAATATGAATAGGAAATATCAAGTCAATGTAAAAGCTAAGAATATTTAAATGTTAAGAATATTTTTTTTAAAAAGAGAATGTGTAAAAGTTAAAATTAATAATCTGTAACTAATTTCGGAAAAATATTAAACATGTTAACAGATAGCGAAACCTATCAAGTTTTTGCTATTTTCTTATCTATTGCTAAGTATATTATTTTTTTTCATATTCTTAACGATTACACATAAATTCATGCATGTATTTACGTATACACACACGCGCGTGCACCCACACCCACAAACACACACACACACACACACACACATATATATATATATACTCGTAGTATATATATTTACTTTTATATGTATAAGTAGTTTCTAGTTTAGAATACAAAAAAAGTTTCAATGAAGAGTTATTATAGCGAAAACGTTTCTTGTATTGCGCTGGAAATCGGAGGCATTCATATATCAGTCTTCTTTTTTAAAATTTATTGAACTGATTAGAGTCATTACATATAAATAGTGATTCGAAAAAAAAATATAGTTTTTAATTCCTCTACTATTACTTCACCACTTTCAATTTATCCATTCAAGTTCGAATACATTTTTTACGAAGCTTGTAGTGGATGACACTTGATTTTAATACGGTTTTTTTCAAATATTAATTCATTAATTAAATTAAGAAATGAATAAATAGTGACAAACAAAAATAATATTCCAACAACATTTACAGAAGAATTATATTCATTCGTTGTGTTACTGTAGCGCAATGGTTAGCGCTTTCGTCTACTAATAGAAAGGTCGTGGGTTCGAATCCCACCTGGTATAGTCTAATTTCTGAGAATGTGTTTTCTTTTTCACAATATTATTTTATTAGGATAATTAAAATTAATTAAAGAATATATATATAGTAACAAACAAAAAATAGTCCAACACCATATATAGAAAGTAAAATTGAAAATTGCAAGGAAAATTGCTTCCTATTTAGTCACATAATGTTGCGATTCTATCATATGTATATACATATTTATATTAATTGTAACTATTTAATAAAAGGTAACTAAAATAAAAATTTTCTTTGTTGACCTAAATAGGAATTGACTTGCCATATAAGATGCCACAGACTTCCATGAAATAATGTTTCATAGTATATCAGTATTATATTAAAACAGAAAATGTTAAGCAATTTAAGAAATATTTAAAACATACTTGATAGCAATTTATAATTTTAACAATTCGAAAAATAATCCAAACCTGTTCATACTCACACACACAACTTCCGTTCCTTCCAGTACAAGCATCAATTCCCTTTCCTTTTTAGACTCAATTTGTAATTTCCAGAGCCCCGTCCCTTTAAATCGTGATTGAAAGTAATTCTCTTGGGTGGCGAGAGCAGAGCGAAATCCCCTATCCCCTGCTGAGATGTCATCTTAGTACCACTTGAAATTCCATCGGTTTTCGACTAAGTTAGCTCCGCTTCATGAATAACCATCTTTCGCTCGAATTTATGGAAACTAATTTATTTCGCGTGTGAGAACGACTGCAGAAAATGTGCTACAGTAGGAACTGTTCTCTAAGAAAAGCTCTTTATGGAATGAAATATTCAGATGTCTTCTGGAATTGAGAGAAGACTTGATAGATACATATAAAACTCCAGATTCTTCAAGGGTATTTTTAATAGAAGATTGCACACTGGAGGGCTGAGATTTCATTCCGCAGTTAAGTCTCCAGCTAGGATGTTTGGATGGAAGAGGAAATGATTTGGTGTTGTTTTATTGCAGGTTTATTTGCTTTAAGTGAGATTGTGTGTTTACACCCGAAGCACATTTTACCACTTCGTTTTAATAAAGCTTATCTGAAACATACTGCTTTGGGAAAAGGGATTTATTCTGTTATTTGTTCAAATTCCCTTGAGATGCTAGTAATAGATTCCTTGTGGTTATTGTAATTTCTTCGCACTTTCACTAAATACGAATGAATAAATGCTTGTACATTTATACAAATATTGACAATAACGTAAATATAAAGCATTTCTTAATAGTGATGTAGAGATAATAGGGATTCGTGTGGAGGGAATTTAAGACCTGAATACTGGTTTAAAATCCTAAACTTTATCAATAAAATTGTTTTGAAAAATCCTGTAAAAGTATGCGTCTTAGATTTTAGTCAATTTATTTCAGTTAAAACTTGTTTGTTCTTCTGAAATAAATTTATTAAAAAAGTAACCACTTATACAATTATATATGTTCTATGCATTTAGGAGCAAAAAGTATTATTGGAAATGCAATAATCGAATCACTCACACACATAATCGCATGTACATTCGTCATTATGTTGTAAAATTTTATTCTAGGTGCACCACAAAACAAAGTATAAGTTATTTAAACACGTTTTCATTTAGTTAAAAAAATTTATTTTAAACTATAAGAATAATTTTACATAAAACAATTAAAAGTTCCATCTCTTGATTAAAAGCGATTTCACACATATCTTTCATATGAATTATTATATTTTAATATAAGACTTATAAAACTTTAAAAAAAACACCTTTTAAAGTTTGGAAGTTATTATTGGATAGAAGTATTATAAATATCTCCACATATAATTTATATATATTTTATGCCATTTTCTTAAAAAGCAATCACGTTTGCTCTTGTGGTTAAGGGAAAAACATCTAATGGATTTTTACCCACACACATTGAAGTATGTTTCCATGAAAGTATAAATAAAGTTTATTTTCTATTGTTTTCTTATTTATATGTGAGTTTGTGAAAAATGAAGTAAAGTAGTAAATATACCCTACAAATCAAAAGGACAAAATATTCTGAAAATTAGAGCCTGAAGCATGGACCTATTGGACCTACCTCATGTCAATGAACCAAAATACAAAACTTTCATTTTTTCTAAAGATGTCACAAGCTAAGGATGTGATATAGAGTTAAGTGTTCTTTATAGGATCCTAAGCCTTTACTTTCAGCAGAAAATGTATACATAATAGTCCAAGAAAAATGCTGAAATTAACAAAATAAAAATATTTATTATAAGTTATGGTTAACATTCATACCTGTTTTCGAACAGTTTGCTAATTGGCGAATATTAATTGGAAATCAAATCATATAAATGGAAATAGTAATAGCATTAGAAATCAATTAGAAAAGGATAGAATTTCAAAAGCATGCCTAAAATTTTAAAAAAGAATTATTAAAAAATGAAACCAATTATCAAAGAGATGTAGGGAAATTGGAAATTGAAAATTGAAATGATAATATTAGTATTAATATTAATAAGATTATAGTATTTCGTTATGGTTAAATATTTATCAGAATCACATAGTTATAAATGCGTTCAATTATCAGTCAGAATCTCAATTAAACATTTTAACAATGTGCGTGCTTCCCTTTCTGATATATATCAACAAAAGTCAAAGTTTGAAATATATATTACGAATTATATAAGCAATAAGAGAGCTACATTAAATATCCTACATACATACGGCACAGGATAAAATTACTTCAATTTCGGTACTATTGTTCAAGTTTTCCACAAAATAAATGTCTTTATTAAGTATTATCCACATGAAATATATTTTATATTATATTTTCTTTTATATAATATTATTAACAGTCCTTTACAAAATGTATCCCTTGTTCTTTCTATGTACACTCATGGATAAAAAAAAATGGCGCACCAAGAAGGAATGAAACGAAATTTTACATAAATAATGATTATTTTGATATATAAGTGAATGAGAGAAAATCGATCATTTATGTCAGAGGAAAGAGCAGAAGAATGGAGGGTTTAATACCCTCTTGAACTCCCTCTAACGCGAATGCACGATGCGATACGATCGGGCATTTAGGCATACAAGTTCTGTATGATGTCTTGAGAAATTGCGTTCCATATTTGCTGAAACTTTGCCTCTAGTTCACTCAAACTCGTGGGATGCCCAACTCGCCGTCCCAAATGATCCCAGATATGCTCGATTGGAGACAAATCTGGGGATCGGGCAGGCGAAGGAAGGATAGTAACAGTGCGGAGACAATCTTGTGACATCCTTGCCGCGTGAGACCGAGCATTGTCTTGTTGAAAAATGGCTCCTGAGAGAATTGCATGAGGGGCAAAACATATGGTTGCAGGATGTCATGGACATACCACTGGGCTGTCATGGTGGGACGGATCAATACTAGAGGTGACCGTGTATTGTAGGCAATGGCACCCCACACCCTCTCACCAGCTGTGGGAGCGGTGTGTCACTGTAAACTGAGGAGGACTAAAGCGACAGGACTGAGGCGCAGGACTAAGGCGGAGGACTGAGGTGCTCACCACGGGGTTTCCACATAAGAACACGATTGTCATCACTGCTTAGATTGAATCTGGATTTTGGTCGCTAAAGACGACATGGTTCCATTTCACTGCAGTCCAGTTTCCTCGTGCGCGGCACCACTCCAAACGGAGGCGTCGATGGGTGGGAGTCAGGGACAGCACAAGTAATGGCCGCCGCGATCTCAAGCGTCCTTCATCAGGTGCCTTCGTATGGTTCGAGAAGACACAGGGCCCCTAGTGAAGGTGCTGCCTATGCCTGGATGGCAGCCAATGAAGCATTTGGCTGTAAGCGTGAATTTCTTACGATGTGGCGGTCTTCTTGATGACTGGTCTGTCGAGGGTGTCCTGAGCCTGGTCTCCCGGCTCAGGACATCTCCCGGATCCACTGGTCACAACACCTCCTCAGAACACAATCAGAGCAGCCTAATTGACAAGCTACTCGCCTAGCTGGCCACCCAGCTTCCATCATGGCGATGATTCTGACCCTCTAAAACTGCGACAGCTGTTCATATTGTCTTCGAAAACGGCGTAATGACATGTCTACCTCAGCGCTTCCTTTGTAAACGATGCAGCCCACTCAAACAAGCTTTTTATACTCCACGGAGAACGACTTTAAGTGCCCTCTACGGGCTATACGTAATGTGCAATAACGCTGCATTTCTAATCATTTGCATATCTCCCCGATATATGCCTTCACGCCAAGTTTCGTTACGATCCCGCAATTATTACTGGGTTCGCTAATTTTTGTTGTCTATGTTTGTATGTATGTGCACTATATATACACTAGTGTCCAAAAGTTAAGCATAATTGATAATTATGTGAATAATGAAGGAACTGCAAATCAGAATGGCGGGAAAAGTGATATGCGAGTGTAAAATGGATATAAAATAAGGAAGCAAATCAAAAGAATGATAATAGTTAATTTTATTATCCAAAGTAGGAGTTTGAAAGAAAACTGAGCATAGCAAGGATTCACACTTTAAAGAAAAAATGAAAGAAAACATTAAATAAAATACTGATGCTGCAGTTTAATAAGACGCGTGGTCACCTCTGACAGCCAGGCACGCTACACAGCGATGTACCATACTTGCTATGAGATGAAGAATGAGTTGTGGGCTCAAACGGTTCCAAGCTTCTTGGAGAGCTCTCTTCAGTTCTGTAACGAAGTTTGGTGGATGCGAAAGGGCTGCAATTTGTCTCCAGAGCATATCCCATACATTCTCGATAGGATTTAAATCAGGGGAGTTCGCAGGCCACGACATGCACCGGATATTTTCCGTTTCAAGGAAGTTATCAATCAGCACCGCTCGGTGAGACACGGCGCATTATCATCCATGAATATGAAGTCAGGACCAACAGCACCTCGAAATAAAAAAAAAACATAAGGCTCAAGAACTTCGTTTCTGTATCGTTGAGCAGTTACAGACCCCGTGTCAAAGAAATGGAGGTCTGTGCGGCCGTCCATCATGATGCCTGTCCCTACCATTACTCCCCTTGATGGAAAA